GTAACGCTGTTATTTTGACAAGAAAATACAACAAAGAATATCATTCACATGTAGCGCGTCAGTTCTCTCTCTCTCGCTGTGTGTGTGTGTGAAACAAAGAGACGGAGAGTCGTGCGCTTCACACTAGAGTTTACAGTACGTCAAATACAGGTGCGTTGCACATCCATTCAGATGAACTGAAAAACAGCACAGATCGCTTGGCTCACCAGTGTGCTGACTACTGAACTAGTGCGCTGACTACTGAACTAGGGAGCTGATTGAGACGCACACAGAGATTTAGTTTGGGTTTATTTTTCTTTCTGTTAATTATTCCGGTCTTAAACACAGATAAACTCGACTGAGATCCACGTGACACACTATTATAAAGATGGAGTTTATTAAAGAGGAGAGTGAAGACATGAAGACTGAAGAAACATTCAGAGTCAAACATGAAGATACTGAGGAACAAACAGAGATGGTGTTTATTAAAGAGGAGAGTGAAGACATGAAGATTGAAGAAACATTCAGAGTCAAACATGAAGATACTGAGGAACAAACAGGTTTTACAAAGTTTACATAATCTTAAGGTGTTTTTGTACCCTTGTCTGTGCTCCTGCATCTTTCTCTCCGTTATTTTTTTGAAAGGATTCAGCTTTATTTATTGCTTCATCTAATTTTTTTAAGTTCTCTTAAAAGTCAGTTTTCTACTCTTATTTTAGTGCTCTGATTTAAACACTGCGTTTAAAGAGTCATGTCTCATTGAATTCTTCATTGTAAATGCCCACTGCTAGGATTGAGTAACATCTTTGCATATGAAATTAGTAGCTACACGTGGAAGTCTTTTGAAAATGTTTCTTACACTTTTAACGCTGCCAAGATGAACTAATCATGAAAAGTTATCTGGTCCATCTTGCTTCGATGTGATGCTGACGTATGCTAAATAAACTCTGGCGACAGCAGCCGCATTCACGCAACTAGGGCTGCCCTTCTAATAAAGTGAGTGAAAAAAGTGAAGTGACGTGTGGCCAAGTATGGTGCAGAAGTACCAACCCAGTGTTTACAAAGTGAACATGCAAAGAAGATCAAGCACCCTTTACATAAAAAAGGTAAAACCGCGATGTAGGATGATTTTGAAGTTGGAGGAGAAAATGAGATGGGAGATTTTCGACATACCCCAACTGTCTTGAACAGGAAAACACAGCGTTCACGCAGAGCTAGACAAGACGAGCGTTTGAGGTTAAAAAGTATATAAAATGTAAAAAAAATGTTTAAAGAAAATAACAGATCGTTTCGCTAGATAAGACACTTCTTCCTCGATCTGGGATCATTTAGAGCCATTTGAAGCTGCCTTTAAACTGCATTTTGCACGTTCAAACTCGGGGGCACCATAGAAGTCCATTATATGGAGAAAATTCCTGAAGATTCCTGGCAAGTTCTCCTCTGGCCAGACGAAACCAGCATGGCGTGGGTTTAATTCCTGGCTGCAACATAGATCAGATTGTGCAGAGGACTTGTCTGGTTCTTGTGGTCTTGTCTAGTCTAGTTGACGAGGTCTTCGCAGGGGATCTGTCTCTAGGGCTCATCTAGTTGACATGGTCTCCGCTGACATTAAGGGCTGTAGAGGTCATCTCTACGTGCTGATCCACCATCTGGACTGGAAATTTGATAGTATGCTATGTGTTTGTCAGGTTAAACCAGGTTTAATTCAGGTTTAATCTGACAGAGTGTGTCTGCCTTCCAAACAACGCTAGGTAGATTGTTCCAGAGTTTGGGTGCTGAATAGAAATGATCAAATGGCCAAAGTTTTGAGATCACAGTAGACATGAAGGACTATAATGTGATAAGAGCTTGCTCAAGTACTCAAAAAATCAAGTTTTACAAATGCTAGAAACATGGTATTCAAAGGAAAAATTGCCATCAAATAGCACACCCAGATTCGTAACTAACAATGAAGAATTGACAGAGCATCAAGTGCTAGACAGTGTACTAGGTTATTACACGTGTAGGTTTGTGGTCCAATAATTGCCCTTTTTCAATAATTATTTATTAGGTTTTATAATATAACATAATATAATATCATGTAAAAAGAACTGAAGCATTTAAACAGATCTGTACGCTAAATATTTTCAGAAAATGTGAATGTGAATTATTATATAACATTAGTTATGTAAACATCCCTATGTAGTAGAGTTAGCACACTTCTACATTTGTGTGTAAATGTAACACCGTGTCTACACCCGATATGACAGTTGTCGCGTCTCGCCGCAACAGCTTAAAGTCTGTCTACACTGGACGCGACAAAGTGACCGTTGCAAATCATTTTAACTTTGTGTCATAAAAGTCATAAATAGAAGAATGAGGCATCAGTTTACTGTCTGGGATTTGTCGCATTGCAGGGCGCCATCCAGTGTAGACCACATCACTGATTATAATGGATTCTATAGTATTATGTCGCGTCGCACCGCTCACGTCCAGTGTAGACCACATCACTGATTATAATGGGTTCTATAGTATTGTGTCGTGCCGCACTGCTCGCGTCCAGTGTAGACCACATCACTGATTATAATGGGTTCTATAGTATTGTGGCGCGCCGCACAGCTTGCTTCCAGTGTAGACCACATCACTGATTATAATGGGATCTATATTATTGTGTCGCGCTAAGTGTTTTGTTACCGTTCTGTGCCCATCATCCGCCATTTCGTTCCATTGGCCCCCTTTAAACATAAATGGTGTTACGTATGTTGGATATTTGTATCATTGTTTTGTTCTGCTGTTCTATCTTGCTTCTGTGAATGCATTGTTTTCAGATTTGTAATTCCACCTGTCAGTGATGTTTGAACCACCGTGACGGGTCATTTCAAAGTTATAACAAACATCTGCTGCTTCCTCCCTGACAAAAATATTGGTTATCTTTTCAAATAAATCATCACATGGAATTACTGTGTGATGAGTTTTTGGTCTAATGGTTGAGTGGGGTGTTTGTCCTTGTTTCTTTTCCCCCATGTTTCTTTATTTTTTGCATCTTAATCCCTAGTAAATGGGTGATCAGTCTTTTTTTGTTTGTTTGTTTAAATGGAGGGTTTAAATACCAGCTTGATAGTTTTTGAGACATGTCCTAGAGAAAGTGGGTTAGCAATATTGAGAAGGGGTTCTCCGATTACATGTAACACCTCTTTCATTTGCTTAGTGGGTATAGGATCTAGTTGTATGTTGGTTTCGACGACTTGCATGTCTGAATGTTTTAATGTCTGATGCTTTGTGTCATTGAATTGGGGTTGATTTTTATTTGTTTTTTTTCGCCCTAGACTTGACGGTGCTGAAAGAGGAGAGTCAAGAACTGAGTGAAATGGAAGAGAAAGATCAATATAAGAATCAACATGATTTCTTAACTGAAGAAAACTATTTTAGTTGCTCACAGACTGAAAGACAGAAAGTAGTAGTTATTTCATCTGCCAACAGTGTGGAAAGTGTTTCCTTCAAAAACATTTTTTTAAAAGGCACATGAGAGTTCACACAGGAGAGAAGCCTTATGCCTGCCAACAGTGTGGAAAGTTTTTCAGTCAAAAAGAAACTCTTAAAGCACACATTAGAATTCACAATGGAGAGAAGCCTTACACATGTCCTCAGTGTGGAAAGAGTTTCACTCAACGTGGAAACCTTGCGGTCCACATGAGTCTTCACACTGGAGAGAAGCCTTACACCTGCCAACAGTGTGGAAGAAGTTTCAACCGGAAAGGAAACCTTAATTGCCACATGACAATTCACACTGGAGAGAGTCTTTTCAACTGCCAACAGTGTGGAACAAGTTTCACTCATAAAGAAAGCTTTAACAGACACATGAGAATTCACAATGTAGTGCAGGCTTACACCTGCTCTCAGTGTGGAAAGAGTTTTGATCAACACAAAAACCTTAAAGTCCATATGAGAACTCATAGAGAGAAAACCTACACATGTTCTGAGTGTGGAAATATATTCGGTCAAAAACGGCATTTTGAAGACCACATGAGAATTCACTCAGGAGAGCAACCCTACATGTGTTCTCAGTGCGGAAAGAGTTTCAATTACAAACAACACTTTGAAGACCACATAAGAACTCACACTGGAAAGAAGCCTTTCACATGCCAACAATGTGGAAAAAGTTACAACCGAAAAGGAAGCCTTAACAGGCACATGAGAACTCACAC